AAGGGGAGGGGGAGGGGAAGGGTGGGGATTTCCCCTACTGAGGTCCCATGGCAGGTGAGAGGCTGAAGGGGAAGGGTCCCCCTGGTGCCCACCCTGCCCTGACACCACCATGTGCTGTGCCTCAGCCAGCGGCCCCGCCGGCAGCGCATGCCCTACCACTACTATGAGCCCAAGGGGCCGGATGAGTGTGTCACCTACATTCAGAACGAGCACAGCCGCAAGGGCAACCACCACCGCTTCATCACTGAGAAGAGGGTCTTCTCGTCGTGGGCCCAGCTGTACGGCATCACCTTCTCCCACCCCTCCTGGACCTAAGCCAACCTGCCTGGGGGATCTCCCGAAGGACACAGAAGTGGCTCTGGGCTCAGCCAACCGAGCTGGAGCCAGCTTCTGAGCAATCGAGGCTGGTGACAGTGTCTCCCAGCCAATCGGGGCCTTGATGAGGGTATATCCTCCAGCCAGTCAGAGTGCCTGGGGGTATCTCTTGGCCAATCAGGGATTTGGGATTCTATGTGGGTCATCAGGGGTGTCAGGTCTTTCTTGTCCAGTCAGGGTCTGAGCATAGTCAGTCAGGGTACAGGGGTCTTTCTGAGTCAGTCTGAGGCTAGGAACATGTCCTTTCCCATGAGGCCTTGGTTCAGAGCCGCAGGAATGGACCCAAATCACTCTCTACTCACCTGGGACCATAGGGTCCTTCCCAAGGAGCCAGGAATGGGGCGTTGGCCCCTCAGTTCCTCCATCACTGGGAGACAGTATGTGGGCAGGAGCTGTACGGGAGCCAGCTACAATCTGGGGGCTGTGGGGAGGCTGGTGAGGAGGGAGGCTGGTATCCGGGTCTTGGCGCCCCCCAAGTGACCTTGGACAAACCCCTCCCGTCCTCTGGGCACTGGTCTGCCCACATAGGGTTCTACTGTGGTGTCTGAGACCCTCCCGCCTCCCCCACCCAGCACCCTGTTGGCCTCGAGATGGGAGCACCAACCCCGCCCCTTGCTGGCGGGCCTTTGGGCCCGGGGACCTGGGGTGCACATCTCCACCTCCTGGAAAACGTTAGGGTATTTTTGCGTAAATTTCCCGGGGTTGGGGGACACCACCAGGAACGGGACAAACCTTAAGCTGTTTTCTTAGCCCCTCAGCCCAGCTGCCATTAGCTTGGCTCTTAAAGGGCCAGGCCTCCTTTTCTACCCTCTAGTGGAAGGGGTCCCCCACCTGCTGGAGGAGACTTTGGGGCTGAGAAAGGGGATCCCAGCACACTGGGATCCCATGTGGCCTTTGTGTGGCAATGTCGAGGGCTTCTGGGGTCTCCCCTGAGCAGGGCCTGGGATGGCTATTCCCTGGGGTCTGGGATGGCTGTCACCTGGGCTCTGTCCCCTCGAGCGGGCACTTTACTAAAGCTGGCGCTGGGTGGGGTTTGTTTTCTCCCTGCTCTTCTGGAGCTTGGAGGGGAAGGGCTTCCGGAAGGAGGCTGTGGAGCGGGAGGAATCAACAGCGGAAGCCAGCTGCAAGCCATTGCACATTGGGGTGACACAGGGTGGTGACAGCCCCAGACTTGTTTTTGTAATGATTTGTACAGGAATAAACACACCTAAGCTCGAGCCCTGCGTCCTGTGTCTCCCCTCTCTGTGTCCCAGCTGCGAGTGTCCACAGATCCATGCCTACAGCCCCTGGCTGGGAGCTTGCCAAGGGGGTGGCCGGTCAGCTCATTCAGCCACCCGCTTAGTGTGGGGTCCGGCCCTGACCCTGGGCAAGTCAAGTCACCTCTGAGAGGTCAAGTCACGTCCCCCATGGGCGCGTGAGAGCAGCCAGTGCCCTCAAGCAGCCCAGCCTAAGGGGCTCACCAAGAGTCCCTGCAGTCTGGGGAGGGCGTGTGGGCCGTGAAAGCAGCTGTAAAGAAAAGGAAGAACAAGCGATGAGCAGAGGCGGAGGAAGGTGGCAGGTGGTCCGGCGCAGACGTCAGCTCTAGGGCCTGGCGACCTGAAGGGCAGGGACACTTACTGCCAGGCCAGCAGGAGGGGGCGGGGGAGTGTGGCCGGTGGCAGCCGTAGCAGGGGTGTGGGGAGCGGGACTTGTGCAGCCAGCCTCTTGGCTCAAGGGCTCTTTATTCCAGATTGGCAGGAGGCGAGAGGGCCGGAGATTACAACCTGTTTCAGCAGATAAGATGCCCTTGGGATCGAGACCTAACAAAGGGTGACTGTGTGCAACAGGGCATGTGGCCTGCTGGGATCTCCCAGGGGCTGCCGGGGATGGAAAGTGCTCTCCTGGGCAGAGGGCCAACCGGGAGGGTGGGCTGCTGGGGCTAGGAGGCCAGAGTGGCGTCTTGCATTTGTCTCTTGTCCCTCAGGAACCACCCGACATATTAGGTGCAGCTGAGGGCGGAGTGTCGGCTGGGAGGAATGGGGGAGACCCACAGTCTGGCTGCCACGGCAGCGTGGGAGGGAGCAGTGAGAGATAAGACTCTCAGGCTGATGGCGAAAGGCCAGGAATGTCAGCTGAGGGTGGCCAGGCCTTGATCCTTCCTGCCAGCAGAATTCCAGTGAGACGGCTGGGTGTGGTGGTTCCTGCCTGTCACCCCAGCACTCTGGAAGGCCGAGTCGGGAGGACTGCAAGTCCAAGCCCAGCATGGACAATTTAGTGACTTAGTGAGGCCCTGTCTCAAAACCAGAAAAATTAATAAATAAAAAGGGGCCAACCAGAGGAGATAACAGAGGTGGTAAGGAGGGTGCAGGAGGGGCAGGGACTCCTTATATGTCACACACAGGGCACCTAGAGCCTTGGATGGCCTGTGGGTAGGGCACACTTCCAACTCCTCACAGAGGCTTCTGGGAACTGGGCATCAGCTTCTGGGTAGGGTGGCCTGGACCTCAGAGTCCTCTGTTTGCCCACAGACGAGGCTAGGAGGGTGACACGGGGCTCACTTGCCGGGTTTGGGCCCTGGGGAAGTTCATTTGAGGGCCAAGAGGTGAGACTTGGGTGCAGGACATGAAGCACAGGAGGCGGGGGCCACATTCCCCCCCTCTTCCCGCCCCATTCGACCCAGAGGAGACTGCTCGCGTCTTAAAGCATCCCCGAAGCCTGCAGCACCACGGCCCTCTTCCCTCTGAAACCTTCACTGGCTCCCGCTCTCTGGCTCCGGCTCACCGCTCAGGACCAGCTTCTCCCCTCCTGTGGCACTTGAGGCCCCCTGCACCTGCATCTGCACCTGTGTCCTCCCCCGGTGACCCTCAAGGCCAGGTGTCCCCTCGCCCCTGCGCCTCCCCACAGCTGCACACCCAGGTGCAGCTGTTCCTCTCGGCTTCCTGAGGATGTCAGGGACTACACCCGTGCCACGACTGGGCCCCCTGGGGCAGCAGAGCCCGCCCCGCTTCCTCAGGGCCAGGTGACCTCGGATCGTTCACCGACCGCAGCCCAGCACTTCTTTTCAAGTCTTGGAATTCTTTCCTTAACCAAAATGTTTTTAAAAACTGCTTTCATTTTTATTTGCTTATGTTTTTAGAAATTTTGTTATAAAATAAATTGTATAGATGATATAAGGTAGAAAGTGGCTGGGTGTGGTGGTGCACGCCTGTAATCCCAGCACTCGGGAGGCTGAGGCAGGAGGATCATTGCAAATTTGAGACCAGCCTGGGCTAGTGAGCTGAAGGCCAGCCTGAGCTGCATATCAAGACCCTGTCTCAAAAAGACAAAAAAAAAAAAAAAAAGAAAGAAAGAAAAAGAAAGAAAGAAAAAGAAAGTGAAGGCATTGCCCATTCTAGTCCCTGTTAAAATTCCAGAGTAAAAAAAAATTGTTTTTTGTCTTTTTTGAAACAGGGTCTTGCTATGCAGTTCAGGCTGGCTGTAGCCTAGGCTGGTCTCAAACTTGCAATGATCCTCCTGCCTCAGCCTCCCCAGTGCTAGGATTACAGGTGTGCACTACCATGCCTGGCCACAGTAATATTTTCTAGATTTTTTTTCCTCCAAATATTCCCCCCACCACCACCTTTTTTCTTCCTGTTTTTCAGGTTATGGCTGGGAACTAAAACCCTGAGATTTTACTATCCCAGCATTTGTGGAAAATCCACAGGGCATATATAAATAAAATAACTGAAGCAGGTACTTTACACTTTTTTCTATTTAAAAAAATTATTTTAAAAGTCATGGTTTAAAAACATACCATTAAGTTTATCATCTTAACCACTTCACATCATCTTGCAACAAATCTTCAGAGAGTTTTCATCTTGCAGAGCCCAAACTGTGTCGTATTAACACAACCTTTCTCTTCTCCCAACCCTCTTCCTCTAGCAGCCACCAGTCTACTCTTTCTATGAGTCTAATACATGTGTGTGACTGTGCAATATTTGTCTTTTTGTGATTTACTTTAAAAAACAAAAACAAAAAAAAAAACAAAACACACACAAGATCTTGCTATGTAGTCCAGGCTGGCTTCAAACCTGCAATCTGCCTGCCTCAGCCTTCTGAGTGCTAGGATTACAGGCATGTGCTCCCCGTGCCCCATTCCTGGCTATGATTGGCTGGGCTTTTTTTTTTTTT